GGATCATCAGAAGATAGCTGCACAGGCAGAACGAGAAGCAGCATATTAAGACATTGAGCGAAAGATAACAGAATGAAGTGGGAGCTAAAAACATAACATTAAAATTATTAAACACTCACGATTCATCCGATTTGAGAACATTTGTTGTCAAAGCTTTCTCAACAGCAACCAAAATCGATACAATCATTTCACAAATAACTGAGATGTAAAGAGTGCTGTCGGAGTTGGACAAATGTTTCCATACCCAAATGCAGATTTTCGTCAACAGTATCAACATGACTAGTTTCAGCCGAAGGTATTTGGGAGCATACTGCTTCCAAGTGCGTGAGTTGGAGGTCGACAAACAGAAAATATCATAAACGTTGGATCTATTCTCAAGATCACTAAATTCAACAGAGTAGTTTATAGCTGGATAGCAAAAATTTAGAGAGGTTGCGTAGTCACATCGGCAGGAAATTAAATTCAAATTTGAGAGCCAATTAAAGTTGCATTCCAAATCTGAAAGAAAATGATATGTATTATTATTGCTACTCTACAGTGCTTCATGATTTATAGAAGAAACTAACATACTTGAATCATTAGAGAATGAATATAACCCATCACTGATGATTGAAAAAGATGAAGTGAGTAAGGCCTTAAAAGATTTCCATTCCTCGGGAGCACTTAAGGCACTTATTACAGACCAATGAGCAGACTTATGGCTTAACACATAGCAAAAGTGGAAAAGCCATTCACAAAATTCATAATTTTTCTCAAGCGAATTAGCCACAACATTGCTCTGGACATGATTTTTAAATGACTCAAAGTCAACATCAATTATCATTTTACTTTAAGCCCTATTGGGTGGACGTAAAATAAAAAACAACATGCACGAAATGCAAGCTGATTATTAGTGTAACAAATCCAAATCAGCCTCAAGATAACAAATAACGCGGGGCTGTTAAAATAAGTGGTCGTTTGACCTTTACAAAGTCATATGGTATAAAAAAGAATTTTCATAAAAATATTATCACGGCCCAACAAATTGTATACAAAATAAAATCATGCAACTTTGAATCCTACCTAGGTAATGTTTTGTCTGTATCGAAGAGACTTGTCGTAGAAACGAAACTTTTGTTCTAAAGATAAAATGTAAAATTTAATCATGATTCTGTTTCCATATATTTAACTGAAAATTAAAATTTTACCCAATTTTAAGAATTTATTATTGTATAAGTTAGTAAATACCTTAAGCGAATGACTAATTAACACTATCGTGGTACTTTTGAAACCATAATCGTTGGTAATAGTTTCCTCGTTAATGTGTCTTTCATTGATTGTGCTCAATGTTAATTTGCTTTTTTAATAAATGCATGAATGTGTCTTTTTTCTTATAGCTTTTCGTTTATAATTGTGCATCGCTAGTATTTCCATTCCGCTCGATTTCTTTATGGAATGAATTTTCATGATTAGCAATATGCAGGTTTGATTTTTGGCCTTATAATGTTTTTTTCCCCCTAGCAAACTACTAAAAACTCGAATAATCTTTTACATTCACCTGGTGAAAATAATCGAGAACCTCAATTACTCTCTGTACCACAGGAATTTGTTGGAATGTTCATTTCTCGAGCCCTAGAAAAAATTGCAGCTGAAAAACAGTCTCGTAGATATTCTAATAATCAACTTCGAGATGCTTGTCGTGAAGGAATCGAATATCTAAAAACTCGGGTTAATATTTCTGATGCGGATAAAGGTGTTTCCCATTTACCACCTTCTCAATCCCAGGGTGGAGCTTTGTTAACAGATGAAAAGCTGCTTCTTCCCTTTGAATTAGCTTGCAAGAGCAGAAGTCCCAAAATCGTAGCAATATCTCTTGACTGCTTGCAGAAATTGATTGCCTATGGTCATGTGCCCAATGATGCGTACGATTCATCTGGAACAGTACGAATAATCGAACGAATTGTTCAGACTATTTGCTCCTGTTTTAGTGTAAATTGATAATTTAATACTAATGGAATGAATTCTGCTTTTATTTCATTCTCACTTTTTCCATTGTTTTTAGGGCGTAAATACTGATGAAGCTGTCCAGCTCCAAGTGATAAAAGCTCTCTTGACTGTTGTTACTTCTTCAACTGTTGAGGTTCATGAACGCGATATCCTCCTCGTTGTTCGAACTTGTTATAATATCTACATGGCAACAAAGAATGTCGTGAATCAGACAACAGCTCGTGGAACTCTAACTCAGATGTTGAATGTTATTTTCCAGCGAATGGAACAAGCCACCCTTGATGCTGCAGTTCATCACGATCAAAAACTCTCGGAAATCAAATCACGGGTTGAATCAGAGACAAGTAGTTACGTTTCCCGAACTTCTGTTGTGATTCATGGTGACCAAAAATCCATTAGTGAAACATCGGTTGGAACGGAGACGATAAATAATGAATCTCTAGATGGTCACGATTTGGCGGATGAGGCTTTGGAATCTGAGACATCAGCCATGGAAACTTTCGATAAAGATGAAAATAATGGGTTTGATAATGAAAGCTTTGCTCCTGATAATAATTTTGTCCCTGTTGATGTTTCCAATGTCAAGAGACCTTTTACTAATAGTATTTCAGATCATGAAAATGACACTATTGTCAATAGATCTGACCATGAAAGTGATAAAGAGGCCTTTGATGTAAAACCTATTACGAATGATACTCCAGAACATGAGAAGCCAGGTTTGGGGGAAAAATCTGATTTAGAAAATCATAATACTGAGTCCCTTGTAAACGATAATGATTCTGAAGATAATGGCCGAGTAGATATGTCTGATGATCCAACCTCTCAACATGATGATGTGCAGTATCATGATAAAATCGTTTCTGAAGATGGTTCGGAAGTCATTACTCATAGTGATTCAGTTTCTGAAAGTAACAAAGAAGACGAACCACCCATTGAATTCCAATCCAATAAATCTGAGTCTACTATTTCATCGGCATCTTCTTTAAGTAAGGGATTCTCGAATAGTCCCTCTGCGACGTCATTGGACTCTTCTGATGAAAATGCTGCAACGGAATACTACTTTGCCCACGTCACCCAAAAGGATGCCTTCTTAGTTTTCCGTTCCCTTTGCAAACTGGCAATGAAACCTCTAGCCACTACTAATCCAAATGATCCAAAGTCCCATGAACTTCGCTCCAAAATTCTTTCCCTTCAGCTTCTTTTAAGTATTCTTCAACAACCTGGTCCAGCCTTCAAGTCGAATTCAGTCTTTATTACAGCTATCAAACAGTATCTCTGCGTGGCTCTATCAAAGAATAGTGTCTCATCGGTGCCTGAAGTGTTTGAACTATCCCTGGCTATATTCCTCTGCCTTCTGAATTTCTTTAAACAACATCTGAAGATTCAAATTGAGGTCTTTTTCAAGGAGATGCTGTTTGTGGTTCTTGATTCACCAACTGCATCATACGAGCACAAATGTATTGTTGTGGAGACCCTTCAGCGTATCTGTATGGATAAACAGTGCATTGTTGATGCCTATCTAAACTATGATTGTGATCTTGAAAGAGTGAATATTTTTGAGAAGTTGGTGATTTGCTTAGCCAAAGTTGCCCAAGGTCGGCCAGCTGTAGATGCGCGAACCACTCAACCACAACTACAAATTCTCCGCAAAAAAGGATTAGAATGCCTAGTGCTAATTCTAAAATGCATGGTTCGTTGGTCTAGTGATCTCTTCAATGTTGCCAATGATAGCCAGTCCTTCCTCGGCTCTGAGCCGGCGAGTATTTCAGCACATCAGCATGATACAGATAGTGGATCATCAATTCGTAAGTTTTTGTTTAAATGGTCCCTTAATATATTTACTTTCATGCCACTCTATGTTTCATTCGTAGGTTTAAATCAGGGCGTTGAAGATGATCCTGAAGACTTTGAATCACGAAAAGCCCTGAAAGAAGTCTACGAGAAAGGTATCTATCTCTTCAATACGGGGAAAATAACAAAGGGATTGGAGCTGCTACAGGAGAATAATTTACTGGGAACAAGTGTGGAGCACGTGGCAATGTTTTTGCACAACGAATCACGATTGTGCCGTACAGCTATCGGTGAATTTTTGGGTCAGAATGACACCTTCTCCTTGGAGGTTATGTACGCTTATATTGATTGCTTCGATTTCTCGGGCATGGATTTTTTACCCTCGTTAAGGCAGTTTATCTCCGGCTTTTGGCTACCTGGTGAGGCACAGAAGATTGACCGGCTAATGGAGAAATTTGCTGCGAGGTACTGCTCTTGCAACCCGAATAATACGCTCTTCTCATCAGCGGATACGGCCTATGTATTGGCCTTCTCTATTATTATGCTTACGACTGATCTTCATTCAGAAAAAATTAAACAGAAGCAAAAGATGAGCAAGGTAAGCAATCAAGGTTAATTTGCTCGTCTTTTTTGAGCTGCATCAGCTTCTATCCTCCCACTTTGTATTGGTGCAAGCTAGTAAGTCTATTTGCCTCTGCCTCTATCGTCAGTGAATAGTCAAGAAGGTTTTTGATTTGGATGATATTCCTTTTTAATGACACGGATTCGAAACTAGTCAGTTGTCACAATGCAATAAAAGGATTGAATAAAAATTGATGTCGAATAATTCTGATATTAATAGCAAGACATTGACTGCGTCTTTATTTATTTGTTTTTCACGACATTGAAAGCAATTATCTTTATCATCTTTGTCGTAACTCTTAAGAACGCAAAGTTATTAATTTCCTTTTAATTAAACCATGAAATTTCATTTGTGATTTCTTAGTGGCCATTGGCTCTTATTCATTTTTACTTTTCGTTCATCTTAATTGTTGTTTCCTCTGGAATACCTGTCACTAATTCCACCGCTGGTTTAATTAGCCACTTTACTCAATGACGTCATGCTATATTCCGTTCATAATCTGTGGGACTTGTATTTGAAATTAGGTTATATGACTGACCTCGCAAAGCATGTAGGCGGACGCTCTATAACCAAACAGAAGAGGTGAACGCAGCTGGTTTCTACAGTTGGAATAGTAAAACAATTAACTAAGGCTTGAAAGAGGGAGATCAAGAAGTGGTGAATGAACTTTGTCGAAATCGGTTCCTTGAATTCAGGCTGTGGCTTTCTTGATTCTTGCCTACAGTCCACTGGTTCATGTTAAGTTAAGCTATCAGCGTTTCCATCTTTTCTTTCGTGGCTTCCAGAACTAAGTCACCAAATGATTGATGGTTGATCAACCGCTTCAGATGTTTCTAATATGGAAGCTACCAGTGAATGATATGATCTAGTATTGTAGGAGTATGTATATCCAGCCTTAAAATTTTTGCCAACATCTTTATCTTCTATTTAAATTGTCTTGGCTCGTATACCTTCATCACACCGACTAATAAGGACTCAAAGCTTATCGGTGGTGCGTTCGACTTGTTGATTATCCATGCTCCAATATTTATGTTGGATTTTTCCGGAGTAATGTTCCCTGAATAAAATTACCCAAGGAATTAACACTTATGTGATTGTTCCTATCATCCCATCCTTTGGGCCAAAGTAATTTGAATGTCTTCACTAACATGTATCTCTGGATAGTTACTCTAAATTAAACTCCATTGGCACCTAATCTGAAATTATCTATTACAGTGGTTAGTCTCGTTTAGAAATTTAAAGTTAGGGCTTTCTCGGATTTTCCATAAGCTGGCTTTCGGATGTCCTATCACATTGGGTAGGATTTTTTCCTATTTTTTTCAATTTACTTTCGTTTGAGTGTTCGTTTCTTTGTAATCGTGGGAATGCCATGCTATTACTCTACTTTCTGTTGTATTAATATTGTTTCAAGATTACTAGGATCAATATATCTACAGTCACACTCCGCAATAAATCAGCGTCGGCTCAATTTACGTCCTTCAATAAGATATAAATAAGATGGACTTTTTTTGCTGAATTACTTAAATATCATGACTCACTCTCAGTAATTGCAATAAATCAGCGCTAAACATTTGCTAGCTCCAATAGGCCAGTAGAGTTGTCGAAAAGATAAGGTTAGGTAATCGCCTCTGATCACAGAGACTTATTTTTATCTGATGCCCTTTCTATGAAGTGGAATAAATGGCTCTTGAAGTGGTTAATGTATTGTTTTATAGGAGGAGTACATCAAGATGAATCGAGGTATCAACGACAGTCAAGATCTACCACGTGAGTATCTCGGCAAAATATACGACGAAATTGCTCAATGTGGAATGCAAGTGCGCTCCGACAACATGCCACTTGTGTTCTCTGGAAACAGTACCACAACAACAGCAACTATTGGTGTTCGTGGCATAATGGAATCTGTAAGTGAATATAGGAGATAAGATAGAAAGTCGCTCTCATGCTTTGCATTTCGTAGGGCAGCTTTTGCGTCTTATACTATTCTCATGTATTAAGGTGGTGTTTACCTGCGAGAGGTCGTCTTTGTGACCCCTTTTATTTCCTGTAAAGACTTGCTTTTTGGTTGCCAATTTTCTGAGTATAATAGAAGGGCGACTCATAAGTTCATCAATTGTCAAGAAGTCGCATATAAACTTCTTGGTTTCTTTGGTAGTGTGTACATTTACAGCATTTGAATAGTGTATATGAAATAAACAATACTCTTGAACTACAGGCAAAATCCTGATGTGGGGATACCACATACAATTATAATTCTTTCTATGTTTTGTATTTCTGTATTAAATGAAGACCTTTAAGTGATCGAACTTTCCTATATTTATTTCAAATTGCAGGCGTTTTGACAGTTATCATTAGCCCTTTAGCTGACTCCGGGCTTCACAGAAAAGAAGAGGAACATGAAAGTGTCAAAAATTCGAGAGGCGGGGCAGGATAATGATTCACGGACGTAAAAGAGACACAGATAGACACAAAGGCAGAGAAAAGGTAAGATGAGTACTGCGGAAGTGGTGAAATATGACATACAGTTTGAAGTTAGAATTCAACTGCCGGTTAATAGACATTTTTGTTGTATGAGTATACGTTGCCCAGTGTGCACCACGTGGAGGTAAGTCTATCGCGTACCCCGACTTTCCTATATAAAACATTCGGAGTTAATACCCATTTTCCTAAATCATGTCTTAGTATACTTTGTTAGATTTTGATTGTTTGGATAGAAGTGTCTTACTTAAGTAAACAACGACTAAGTGGACGTCTCTAAATGGATGGCTTGGATATTAGTCTGCTAGCTTCTTAGATACGCTTAACTAAGCTCTAAGAGTATAATATGTGATGGTAGTAAAATAAAGTCTTAGAGTACCTTAATTAGAGAGGAATCTGTGGCTTCGTCTTTTTCAACAACGACCACGAACAATTGATGGATTATGGAATTACATCGGTCATTTAGCCAAAACTTTAGATTTGCGTTTAGAAGTCTTTGGAGCATGATTTGTTTAGATTTCAAATGACAGCCTAATTTAATTTAATAAAGTTCTCTTCTTTAATCCCTTCAGGTTAGTCACATGCAGTCCGAATTTACCAGTGCAACCCACTTTGAGCACGTTAGACCCATGTTTAAGTTGGTCTGGACTCCCTTCCTAGCAGCCTTCAGCATCGGGTTACAGGACTGTGACGATTCGTTGATAGCTCATCACTGCTTGGAGGGCATTCAATGTGCCATTCGTATCGCCTGCATCTTCCGTATGGAACTTGAACGAGATGCTTATGTCCAAGCTCTTGCTCGCTTCACTCTCCTGCTGTCTACAACTCACTCCCAGAGCAACTCTCTATCTGGATCACAGTCGGCTGTTATGATGGGTAATCATTACAGGTAAGTACACGATAGTTGAATAATCCAGAGTGGTCGCTAAACTATTATGAATAAACGAAGTGATATAAAGTAGCACTAGCCCTCACTGTTTAGGTATTTTAAAGTTCCACCGAAATAGTCTTCGAAAGTTATATTAAAAGAATGGTTTCGTTGTTCGACATAATACATCAACTTTTCGTGCTTTACGCAAACTTATTGGAATGGCAGAAGGATAAAGTATTCACTGTGTGTATTTGGAGCTTAATGAGAAGGTAAAAAGCGTTCGTCCTAAGCGAACGAGATCCGGGTTTTGATAAAGAGGACCTATGTAGATACGATAGGCAACCGGTACAAATTTTTATTAACTGGCCATTAGTACGCGTTTCTTTGGGTTGCCGTCAAACAGATTTTTTTCGTCTTCAGGGGTCGTAATGATTCTACTCATGGTCAACCCCAAGGAGGCAGCATGTCCTTAAATTCTCTTGCTGATTCCACTTCGTTGATGAATGCTACACCGGAAATGATGAAATCAAAGAACATTGACAGTATTCGAACTCTGATCTCGATGGCGCAAACGGATGGAAATTATTTAGGTCAATCCTGGCTACATATCCTACGTTGTATCTCGCAGTTGGAGTCGGCTAATGTTATCGCGACTAGCACTGCTCGATCACTTCCTCATAGGCGCCATACTTCGCGTAAGTAAAATTGGCAGGGTTGTTGAATTGTACACATTATGCCATAACTCAGGACAAGATCAAGGATGTCTATTTAGTAGGTGCAGCTGTTTTATTTAAACAGGAAGTTTGTTTGCCGCAAGTGCATGCATGCACTACTACCGTAATAAGCATGCTGGGTTTAGGAGAAGAAATCGTTGTATTTTTTTAATATTTTGGCTCATTCTCATAGTACCGCTGGAGGTTTTGAATATGCTATCCTCTATAAAGCTTTTCCATAAGCAATAAGGCAAATAGTCATTTTCTATCTTTATGAAGTCCCTAAATAAGGCATTCTTTAAAATGGGTAGATCCAACTAGTGATAATTCCAAAATAAATCTAATTAATTTGAAGGCAAATCGTCTATTACATCCTTTCTCAAACCAGAAGAAGAACAAGAGTTGTAATGGATAGGTGGGTGTATTGAACTGGCATGGGGAGAGGAGGGCGGAAAGAAAGGAAGATGTGGAATAGAAGAGCTGAAGAACACACTTCCACTTCATTCGTGAGAGTGTAATTATGAAAACATACGAAGTAGACAGTTAACTGGTTTTATACCTCACATGGTCATTTATTGATCATAGTATATGAACGCCAGTTGGCTGTTTGATTCAGTTTATCTGACAATTAGATCATGCAGACTATGGATCACCACTGTGTATGTTTTGCAAGGCCATAGCATGGTCTCTGGATAAAGTCAAATCGGAACAATTTTGAAGCGCAGCTGTTTCTTCCATATGTCGCATAGTGTCTACCTTGAGGTTAGATGTGTGCTATTCATTGGCCACTTACCGGTGTCTCTTAGCCTCATGCCATGTGAAAGGACGTGTGTACAATACTTGTGGCGTAAGAAGAGGAGTAACTAGAGGACTTATAAATTCACCTCTTTCCAATGCTCTCATTTTGACAATATGTCTGTTCTCCTTCTTCTGGTCTATGGTTATAAATGATTTTGTGTCCCTCATTTAATGTGAAGAACTAATTTATTGCGTCCTTAAATCTTTACTAGTGGTTGGTACACGTAATAATCTCCAAACATCTTCAGTTAAAATGTTATATGATTTTTGTCTCGTTAATCTTAACGCTATCTTTATTTTGGCATAAGCAAAAATAGCCTAAAACGTCAAAATTTTTTATCAGACTTTAACTTTGACTTTTAAATAATCTTATCTCAAATTGGAATACTTTTGGAGGCATAATAACCTTAAGTTCATTGGAGGACTCTCTTGTGATTGAAGAAATTGGAGACGATAATTTCTTTTGTGAGCAATTCAATCTATTTTTGCGTGGGCATACTTGGCTAGAAATTGGTTCATTCCAAGGTGTTATGGTGTTTTGGATAAGTAGTTTAGTTGGGTGGAAAAATTTTGCTTGAAAAGTCTCATTTTCCTTTCAGTTTGTGAAGCCAGTGATGGAAGGTTTCTAATATTGTCAGTTGTATATTCTGCCATCCAATAACATTGGTTTGTTACATATATATTTCAAATGGCAGGCGTTATGATAGGTATCATTAGCCCTTTAGTTGGCTTCGGGCTTCACAGAAAGGAAGAGGAACATCAAAGTGGTAAAAGTCGAGAGGGAGGGGGAACAGAATAATGATTCACAGACGTAAAAGAGACAGACAGACAGACACAAAGGTAGAAAAAAGGTGAGGTGAGTACTGTGGAAGGAGTCGAATATGAAATGCAGTGGGGTCTTAGTAGTTTGAAGTCTGAAGTCAACTGCCGATTAATAGACTTTTTGCCGTATGAGTATACGTTGCCCAGTGTGCACCACGTGGAGTTAAGTCTATCTCACACCCCTGGTTTGTTACTATTCTATGGAATTATTTGTTGACGATATTAGTTAGTGCGTAAACTATTACACAATTTAAACATCTCTACAGTTATTACTAGTACATTGTTCATCTATTTCAAATCTTCGAGTCTTATAATATGGCATTAGTTTTACCCTAAAACAATGTCGGAATTTAAGGTCTTAAATTAAATATAAAAATTGTGTTGGTGGTGGGAA